ATAAGGTCAGAATTGATTGATATAAAGTTGCAATTGCGTGATATAAAGTCAGAATTGCGAGATATAAAGTCAGAATTGATTGATATAAAATCGCAATTGCGTGTTGTAAAATCAGAATTGCGTGATATAAAGTCAGAATTGCTTGATATAAAATCGCAATTGCGTGTTATAAAGTCAGAATTGCGAGATAATAAAGTCAGAATTGCGAGATATAAAGTCAGAATTGCGAGATAATAAAGTCAGAATTGCGAGATATAAAGTCAGAATTGCGTGATATAAAGTTGCAATTGCGTGTTGTAAAATCAGAATTGCGAGATATAAAGTCAGAATTGATTGATATAAAGTTGCAATTGCGTGTTGTAAAATCAGAATTGCGAGATATAAAGTCAGAATTGCTTGATATAAAATCGCAATTGCGTGTTGTAAAATCAGAATTGCGTGATATAAAAGTCAGAATTGCGTGATATAAAGTTGCAATTGCGTGTTGTAAAATCAGAATTGCGAGATATAAAGTCAGAATTGATTGATATAAAGTTGCAATTGCGTGTTGTAAAATCAGAATTGCGTGATATAAAGTCAGAATTGCGTGATATAAAGTTGCAATTGCGTGTTATAAAATCGCAATTGCGTGTTGTAAAATCAGAATTGCGTGATATAAAAGTCAGAATTGCGTGATATAAAGTTGCAATTGCGTGATATAAAGTCAGAATTGATTGATATAAAGTTGCAATTGCGTGTTGTAAAATCAGAATTGCGAGATATAAAGTCAGAATTGCGTGATATAAAGTTGCAATTGCGTGTTGTAAAATCAGAATTGCGAGATATAAAGTCAGAATTGATTGATATAAAGTTGCAATTGCGTGTTGTAAAATCAGAATTGCGAGATATAAAGTCAGAATTGATTGATATAAAGTTGCAATTGCGTGTTGTAAAATCAGAATTGCGAGATATAAGGTCAGAATTGATTGATATAAAGTTGCAATTGCGTGTTGTAAAATCAGAATTGCGTGATATAAAGTCAGAATTGCTTGATATAAAATCGCAATTGCGTGTTATAAAGTCAGAATTGCGAGATAATAAAGTCAGAATTGCGAGATATAAAGTCAGAATTGCGTGATATAAAGTCAGAATTGATTGATATAAAGTTGCAATTGCGTGTTGTAAAATCAGAATTGCGAGATATAAAGTCAGAATTGCTTGATATAAAATCGCAATTGCGTGTTGTAAAATCAGAATTGCGTGATATAAAGTCAGAATTGCGTGATATAAAGTTGCAATTGCGTGTTGTAAAATCAGAATTGCGAGATATAAAGTCAGAATTGATTGATATAAAGTTGCAATTGCGTGTTGTAAAATCAGAATTGCGAGATATAAAGTCAGAATTGATTGATATAAAGTTGCAATTGCGTGTTGTAAAATCAGAATTGCGAGATATAAGGTCAGAATTGATTGATATAAAGTTGCAATTGCGTGTTGTAAAATCAGAATTGCGTGATATAAAGTCAGAATTGCTTGATATAAAATCGCAATTGCGTGTTATAAAGTCAGAATTGCGAGATAATAAAGTCAGAATTGCGAGATATAAAGTCAGAATTGCGTGATATAAAGTCAGAATTGATTGATATAAAGTTGCAATTGCGTGTTGTAAAATCAGAATTGCGTGATATAAAGTCAGAATTGCTTGATATAAAATCGCAATTGCGTGTTATAAAGTCAGAATTGCGAGATAATAAAGTCAGAATTGCGAGATATAAAGTCAGAATTGCGTGATATAAAGTCAGAATTGATTGATATAAAGTTGCAATTGCGTGTTGTAAAATCAGAATTGCGAGATATAAAGTCAGAATTGCTTGATATAAAATCGCAATTGCGTGTTGTAAAATCAGAATTGCGTGATATAAAGTCAGAATTGCGTGATATAAAGTTGCAATTGCGTGTTGTAAAATCAGAATTGCGAGATATAAAGTCAGAATTGATTGATATAAAGTTGCAATTGCGTGTTGTAAAATCAGAATTGCGAGATATAAAGTCAGAATTGATTGATATAAAGTTGCAATTGCGTGTTGTAAAATCAGAATTGCGAGATATAAGGTCAGAATTGATTGATATAAAGTTGCAATTGCGTGTTGTAAAATCAGAATTGCGTGATATAAAGTCAGAATTGCTTGATATAAAATCGCAATTGCGTGTTATAAAGTCAGAATTGCGAGATAATAAAGTCAGAATTGCGAGATATAAAGTCAGAATTGCGTGATATAAAGTCAGAATTGATTGATATAAAGTTGCAATTGCGTGTTGTAAAATCAGAATTGCGAGATATAAAGTCAGAATTGCTTGATATAAAATCGCAATTGCGTGTTGTAAAATCAGAATTGCGAGATATAAAGTCAGAATTGCTTGATATAAAATCGCAATTGCGTGTTGTAAAATCAGAATTGCGAGATATAAAGTCAGAATTGCGAGATATAAAGTCAGAATTGCGTGATATAAAGTTGCAATTGCGTGTTGTAAAATCAGAATTGCGAGATATAAGGTCAGAATTGATTGATATAAAGTTGCAATTGCGTGATATAAAGTCAGAATTGCGAGATATAAAGTCAGAATTGATTGATATAAAATCGCAATTGCGTGTTGTAAAATCAGAATTGCGTGATATAAAGTCAGAATTGCTTGATATAAAATCGCAATTGCGTGTTATAAAGTCAGAATTGCGAGATAATAAAGTCAGAATTGCGAGATATAAAGTCAGAATTGCGAGATAATAAAGTCAGAATTGCGAGATATAAAGTCAGAATTGCGTGATATAAAGTTGCAATTGCGTGTTGTAAAATCAGAATTGCGAGATATAAAGTCAGAATTGATTGATATAAAGTTGCAATTGCGTGTTGTAAAATCAGAATTGCGAGATATAAAGTCAGAATTGCTTGATATAAAATCGCAATTGCGTGTTGTAAAATCAGAATTGCGTGATATAAAAGTCAGAATTGCGTGATATAAAGTTGCAATTGCGTGTTGTAAAATCAGAATTGCGAGATATAAAGTCAGAATTGATTGATATAAAGTTGCAATTGCGTGTTGTAAAATCAGAATTGCGTGATATAAAGTCAGAATTGCGTGATATAAAGTTGCAATTGCGTGTTATAAAATCGCAATTGCGTGTTGTAAAATCAGAATTGCGTGATATAAAAGTCAGAATTGCGTGATATAAAGTTGCAATTGCGTGATATAAAGTCAGAATTGATTGATATAAAGTTGCAATTGCGTGTTGTAAAATCAGAATTGCGAGATATAAAGTCAGAATTGCGTGATATAAAGTTGCAATTGCGTGTTGTAAAATCAGAATTGCGAGATATAAAGTCAGAATTGATTGATATAAAGTTGCAATTGCGTGTTGTAAAATCAGAATTGCGAGATATAAAGTCAGAATTGATTGATATAAAGTTGCAATTGCGTGTTGTAAAATCAGAATTGCGAGATATAAGGTCAGAATTGATTGATATAAAGTTGCAATTGCGTGTTGTAAAATCAGAATTGCGTGATATAAAGTCAGAATTGCTTGATATAAAATCGCAATTGCGTGTTATAAAGTCAGAATTGCGAGATAATAAAGTCAGAATTGCGAGATATAAAGTCAGAATTGCGAGATATAAAGTCAGAATTGCGAGATATAAAGTCAGAATTGATTGATATAAAGTTGCAATTGCGTGTTGTAAAATCAGAATTGCGAGATATAAAGTCAGAATTGCTTGATATAAAATCGCAATTGCGTGTTGTAAAATCAGAATTGCGTGATATAAAGTCAGAATTGCGTGATATAAAGTTGCAATTGCGTGTTGTAAAATCAGAATTGCGAGATATAAGGTCAGAATTGATTGATATAAAGTTGCAATTGCGTGTTGTAAAATCAGAATTGCGTGATATAAAGTCAGAATTGCTTGATATAAAATCGCAATTGCGAGATATAAAGTCAGAATTGCGAGATAATAAAGTCAGAATTGCGAGATATAAAGTCAGAATTGCGTGATATAAAGTTGCAATTGCGTGTTGTAAAATCAGAATTGCGTGATATAAAGTCAGAATTGATTGATATAAAGTTGCAATTGCGTGTTGTAAAATCAGAATTGCGTGATATAAAGTCAGAATTGCGTGATATAAAGTTGCAATTGCGTGTTGTAAAATCAGAATTGCGAGATATAAAGTCAGAATTGATTGATATAAAGTTGCAATTGCGTGTTGTAAAATCAGAATTGCGTGATATAAAGTCAGAATTGCGTGATATAAAGTTGCAATTGCGTGTTGTAAAATCAGAATTGCGAGATATAAAGTCAGAATTGATTGATATAAAGTTGCAATTGCGTGTTGTAAAGTCAGAATTGCGAGATATAAACTATTCTGAGGGGAAAAAAGTTAGTCTTTTTCCCCCCTTAGAATTTCGCAATTGCGAGTTTATATCTCACAATTCTGAGAAAAGATGTCAGAATTTCGAGATGTAAACTCGCAATTGTGAGAAAAAAAGTCAGAATTGTGAGATAAAAAGTCGCAATTCTGTCTTTTTTTCTCGCAATTGCGACTTTATTTCTCACAATTCTGACTTCATATCTCGCAATTGTGAGATAAAAAGTCGTAATTATTATATATATATTTTTTATTCAGTGGCGGAAACAAGCTTCCATAGGTTGGTGAACAGCTAGTACAATGTTATACTTGCTGGTGTTGAATATGCTTGACTACCTGACTGACACACACATACACAGACATGCATACACATACATATGTAACAGGTGTACAAAGTGTACAGTTATATGCATGTATTGTTTTATAATTTATAATATAAAATGTGAGTGCTTTCCTCTTTAATTGATGTGATGTCAGTGAATTATAACAAAATAGTTATTTGTTTTCACCAAAATGTCATTTTCGGTGAGAGACAGAGAGGTTTGACTATGAACAGGGCGACAATGCTCACAGCTCTTTTGGGTTTAACTAGAACTAATACTCACAGCAATAGGCAGAGCAGGATCCGTCTCTTGGAAATGCTGAGAACAGGCCACTGACAGGCTTTCCTCAGCTTTCCTTGAGGCTTGTGTAGTCCTGGTTGCAACGGGCTAAAAAGGAAATAAAAATATAAACAAATAAACATTTAATGGCAAGCTATTAAATCCTTATAATCTACTCTTTGTAGATGAGTCGGGAAACTGAAGACTGATGGTTTAGCTCCATCCCTAATCCTGACAGTCTGACCTGTCCTGTCAAAGTCATCCGAGTTGAAGTGCTCACTGCATAGCACAGAGAAATCGCTTGCGGAAAAACCTTGCCTTCGTACAGCTACTTCCCACGGTCTCTTCAACTCTTTGTTTTTTGGAAACCTTCAATGTATGAGAAAAATGAGCTAGCCAACTATCTAACTAACTAACTGTTAACTAACGTTACAGTAAGATTCACAATACGTCAGTCGTCTAGACGAAACGACTAAGTTATTTGTCATAAAAGTCGGTTTTAAGAAAATATAGATGAATATTTAGATTTTCAGGAAATTTACTTTATAATATAAAATATAATATCAGCTAAAACTATACTATTTAAAGTATAAATCATGTCAACTCTCAACGTCCACAGCTAAGTTAACTAACGTTAGCGACATCGCAAACATTAACGTTAGCTCTTTTAGTCTGACTAACTCCGGTGGCCAACTAACGTTACTATTACTAATTATATAATGACCAAATACAACCAGAAACAAACGTTCAGTCGTACTTGTGAAAAGTAATTCCCCGAGACCTGTTTTCAAATGTGCGGCGATGTGTACAGCCCCAAGCAGCGCATGAAGCAGGCATCTTTCAATTACCGTTATGAGAGATTTGAGAATGTTGCCCTCAGCAAAATGGCGGCGCCGTTGACGTACGCTCCAACGGCCAATAGGGCGTCTATGTATATATTATGTCTATGGTTGCAAACACTGAACCCCATTCATTTCCAGTGTTTCCGAAGTACGCTCGCTGGTAAGTTGATGAAATTACTGTATTTGTCACTTTTAAACACGTTAGCCGTACTTTAAAGTTGTGTTTTATGTAGCCAGCTTTAGTTAGTGTTTGTTGGAAGAGAATAGTTAATTGCAGCTAGCTTACGTGACCAACACGTCACTAGTCAGTCAGAAATGTGTACATTCAATACTGAGGTCATAGTTAAATGTGATGTTGCACTTCATAGTTTTTTTGTCAGCCCTATTTACACACATGAGGTGGTCAGAATATTAGAATACTTCTGGATATATATATAGAGCTAATAAGTACAGCAGCACCCCCACAAATAATAAGACGTGTAAATGAATGTACACCATGATCGTGTATAAAATCCTGAACATTATAGAAAATAAGAGTTTATGGCTGCGCATGCATACAGAATCATAATGCAATAAAAATATAATTTGCATAATATGTTGGATGAGCAAAATGATCATCCAGCTTCTTCCATAATGTTGTAGTGTAAGAATAACAATAGTGGTTTGTATAACTGTATATCTATATATATAATTTTGTAATAAATATCCAAAAATAACTTTCACAGTGTGAGATATTGTGCACTTAAAAAATATTTGGAGACTTTTGGGAAATTGTATTTCAGAGAAATTCCAATTTTAAATAATGGCCCGTCCCGCCTGCCAATTATTATTTTATTTTTTTAGAGAATTCAAGTACAAACAATTAAGGCATAAATCAACGATCATACAGTTGTATTTCGTGTTGATAGATCACTTAGAAAAACGAACATATAAGAAGAAAAGAAAAAGAAAAGAAAAGAAAAGAAAAGAAAAGAAAAGAAAAGAAAAGAAACGAAAGGGGGTGAGGGTCTTAGTCCAATAACATAAACAATTCCAAACCGGAAAGAAGTTTCAGGGCATTTCTGTCTGTCATCCAATGAAGAGATTTTACCAATAACTTCAAGTCATTCTTCCATCCATTGAAATGGGGTTTGGTTTTTAAATATTTACATCTGTGGATGAAGTGTGTACCTAAAACAATCAGATTGTTTATCAAAAAATCTAAGTTATTATCATTAAAAAACCCTCCAAATTTAATTGAGCTCACATTCAAAGGGAGAAGCGATATCTCCTTAGATGTAAAAAGTAATTAGATGGATAAATGTCATTCAATATTTTAAATGTCACTTCTTTTGCCTTAGGAAAGATTGGGTAAGATAAATACCGCTTCCTTATTTTTTTAGCCTCTTCGTCACTGAAATCAGAACATATTTTCTTTTCTGTTGACCAGAGAAATACTGTTTCTTAGTTTATTCGATTTCTTCTAATAGATCTATTAGATTTCTTAGTTTATGTAAGTTTATTAGATAACACATTTCTAATAAACTTATTTGTAACCTGTTTACTATTTAAAATAACTTCTTCAATACACAGAGGTCGAGTGTTCGAGTACATTACAAACTGTTTAATCATCATTTTCAGGGGTGCTGATGGCCTTTAACACTGTATTGTACTCTCTCATTGGGCACTGGACATTGAATTTATCACAAAAATCTCTATAATTCAACAAATCACCAAAATTATCCATGTCGCCTGCCAGTGACGCAATATCCGCGCTATCCTCGTTTTTATTTTTTTTTTATTTTTTTTATTGAAATTCAATTTTACAGACAAAATAGGTATTGAACAAACAATATTAATTACAATTCTCAGAGGGCAGATCAAATCATTGACTCCAATCAAATATACAATCAAGAAGACACAAAAAAAAATAAAGGGAATAACATTTATGTAAAAGTAAGTCCTTGCAAGGGGTAAAGAAGCTAAAGTGCACTTAGCTCACTGAAAACACTGGCTACGGTAGAGGCTTTCTCAAAGTGAAGCAGCAAAAGCTTTAAGTTCATTAGGAAAATGAGGAAAGGTTGGGGGGGTTTCAAAAATCTGCACTTGTGAATAAAGTATTTAGCAAGTTCAAAAAGATTGTTAACCAAGTAATGCCGTGAACAATCTTTCTTAAGAACACCGAACTTAATTTGTTTGTGTTCAAGGGGGTTTACACATGTAATAATAATACATGATAGTTTACTGTGCAATTGAGACCAAAATAACTTTGAGTAATTACAATAATAAAACATATGCTCTGTAGTTTCAATATCAGTTTCACAAAATTGACAAGAGTTTTCTCCGATATCAAATTTTGATTTCAGGAATTCTTTGGATGGGTATATGTCATTTATAATTTTAAAATGAATTTCTTTTACTTTAGGGAGACTTGGAAAGGTAAGATAATTCATTCTCAATTCCTTCACCTCCTCTGGGTTAAAATCTTAGTCACGTTTATTTCTATTTGGATGAAGTCTATCAATAAAAACACTTCTAATATATTTGTTGTTACATTTATGATCTCTAATAGATAATTCACCCAGAGAAGGAGATGGGAGAAAGAATGTCACGGCATAGTGTGAAAGAATACCCTTCACCAGGAACACCATGTTCTTTGGTATGGCATTTACAATTGTGTAAACAGGGTTTCTGCGGGGTCTTAAAAAGTCGAAAAAAGTCTAAAATTTCTAAATCAAAATTTAAGGCCTTTAAAAGTCTTAAATTTGCTGAAGTATTGTGTTCTAGGTCTTAAATCATTTTAAACAGCTCTTAATTTTCCTACGTCCATGTAAATCTCATTGGAATGCTCCCGCAGCGCTTTGGAAATTATTTTTTTTTTTTTTGTGGTGTTGTAGTTCCTTATTTCGCTAGTCCAAATATAATTCGCTCTATTACGACTACAAAATAGACCAACATGCAACAGCCAATCAGCTTTGAGCATCCATCTAAGTCTATTTGAGTTTAAGTGTAGGCCTGATGCTTTGGAGAACAGACCAATAAATTGGATGGCTTTTTCAATTTGATATTGGTAAAAGATCACTGTATCATCAGCTAATTGACTAATACCAATTTGTCTTCCAAATACATTCAATTTGTCAAAGTTGCTGTTTTTATCTATCAAGATAGCAAGCATTTCTACCGCTAAGATAAATAAGAAAGGGGAAATGGGACATCCTTGTCTTATTCGGCGTGAAATGTTAAATCTTTGGGATGTTCCAAACGATAAGATAGAATTATTGATGTCTTCATATAACATTTTTATAAAATAAATAAATTTATTGCCAAAACCAAACTTTTCGAGGGATTTAAATATGAAATTATGTTCAACCGTATCAAATGCTTTCCTGAAATCTAAAAAAAGTATATATCCGTCATCCTCAATCCACTCGCTATAATCCAAAATGTCTAATATTAATCTAATGTTGTTATGTATTGATCTGCCCTTTATAAAACCAGACTGTGATTCACTAATTATTTGATTCAAGTTTTTCTTGAGCCTATTGGAAAATATATGAGCTAGAATTTTATAATCACAGTTCAATAGAGTGATAGGACGAAGGTTATCTATGTGTCGTGGTTCTTTACCTGGTTTGGGGATGAGAGTAATTAAACCCTGTTTCATAGTCGAAGATAGGGAGTTATTTTGGATACACTCGAGAAAGGCTTGAAATAATAGTTCTCTCAAATCTTCCCTAAAGAATTTATCAAATTCTGAAGAGAGGCCATCCGGGCCTGGGGATTTCCCTGCAGATAATATATCTATTGCTTTATCTAATTCCTCTATTATAATGTCAGCCTCGCATAAGTCTCTAAATTCCTGGTCTAACTGCGGTGTGTGTGTTGTCAAAGAGAGTATTACAGTCTGATGCAGAGAATGATGAGCTATATAAGGAACTGTAACGTTGGAGAACCTCTGAGGAAATAATTTTAGGACAGGTATTTTCAACTCCATTCACATAAAGAGAATTTATGGCGTTTTTCTCCTGTCGCCTTTTTTCAAGTCTACAAAAATAATTATTACTTTTTTCCCCTTTTCTCTATCCATCTTGCCCTAGATCTTACATATGCTCCGGTAGCTTTTTGAATATATAAATTATCAATTTTGGATTGCAAGGATAGAATTTGTGATTTGGTTTCATTATCCATTTCACTTTTATTACATAAATTGTTTAATTCTATTGTCAATTCTAACTCCAGTTGTGTTCTGGCCTTACTTAAATTTTTTACTGAATTGTATAGAAAATTCCCGAATCTTGTGTTTTAAATATTCCCATTTACTTATGAAAGAGGTAAGGTCCTAGCACTTCAACACGCCTGTTTTTTTCCCTCTTGGCACGCCGACCGGACGTGACATGGGGGCGTGGCAGCATCGACGATTCCATTTTTTAATTCGAAGTTCGAGATTGTGAATTAATTTTGGTCGATTTCGATTTAAAATCAAAATCGTGACACCCTTAAATGAGTGAGCATAGCAACTATGTAAATGCCCCTCGAAACCGAATGCTAAAAGCACACCACACTTGCCAGCTGCCATCTTGAATTCCTCCCAGCTCCAGGGTGTATTGTGTTTATTCTTCATTCATTCATGATGCTGAAGAACATTCATGTTAGAAACATTCAAGCACTTCATCACATTTATTATTCACATTAATAGAGTATTTTAAGTCTATTTTGCTGCTATGTGAACAAAATCGCGCAAAACGCGCCGGCGCGTTTGCCGACCCCAGAGGGTTAACTTAGGGGCCGCTAACACGACACCGTTCTAACAGAAAATCCTTAACTTCTCTTCGCAAACTTTAAAAACGCGAACCTGTGAGAACACGTACACGTGCGTATTACAAGTTCAGTCTATAGTTATGCGTGTTTGAATATTTGTGCGCAGGTGTGTAGTCCTAAAAAAAAAAAACCCTCAACAAACTACTTGTCTGGCCTTAAAATTTATAATACAGAATTTGTATTGCTTCGGCATAGCCA